GCACACCGAGAAGGAGGCAGAATGCGTGATATTGGACGAGCTTGCGAGGATGCTAGTTCTTAGCGGGGGTGACGTATTGAAACATACGAAGGGAGGGAGAGGATGTTCACATATGAAATCGTTGAAAATGATAGCAGGTGGAGTTTTAAGATGGGGGAATTCGAAAAGGAGAAATGTCATTTGCGAGGACGCCGGGGTGGGACCAAGTGCGAGTTTCCAAAGATGTCGAAGGAAGAAAGGCGATGCCGAGAGAGCGGGGATCTTCTGGGTGGTGACGATGAAGAACAAAGAGGTGCATTTTGTGTGTGACGGCGGGTTCGAAATGGCGGAGTTGTGGGTGAGGGGGATAAAGATTGTGACAGGAGCAGCTCGGAAACAAAAATAGTAGGGTTTTTCTAACTCCACCCCCTCCTATAGATGCATGTGAGGGGGATGTGATTGTGTAGGGGGTGACTATGTGAGGGTGAGAGTGAGGAAAAATTGTGAGGGTGTGAGTGAGGGTTGGTGTGAGGAGGAGGGGGTGAAAAGTGATGTAAGGGGGTGGGGATATCAACCCCCAAATAGTATTAGAGGTAGCGTTTCTTTTAGGCAAATTGCATAAAAATGCATCATATTTTGTTCTGATTTTTATTTTGGGTAACATATTTTTATATCCTTCGTTTTGGTATTTGAGATGTAATATCTTATATATCAAAATGAAGGTTTGTAAATATATTACCTAAAATAGAATTGGAACAATAGATTGCAATTGTATGTAATTTGTTCTTTATTTTTCTAGGATGGGAGCTTTTGTATGTGTAGATATGGTACCATGAGCATGAAATACTTCCTCTCGAAGTATTCTTTTCTATCAAATAAATCTAAAATTTTCCTATATGTACCCAATTTTTTCATATGATAAAAAAAGCTAAACAACTAAGTCACAATAAAACTGAGTATACTAAAATTTCTACTGCCTAGGGTAAGTGAATAAGGTAGTGTTTGGTATGAAAATATTACTGGATTGGATATGACTGGATAAGATTTGAGTGGATAGGACAATAGAAGAATACTAGATTAAACATGACTGGAAAAGACAAGTTGTCTGTGTAATATTTGACACGACTAGATTCGGATAGCTGCCTGTAAATGTTGTTTAATGATTTTTTTATTGTTGTTACCGGTGGGTTTTTGTCATTTCTTATATCACATCAAACGTAAAGCCGTAGGTTTTTTTTGTATCATGTCCTTACAATACCATCAAATCTTCCAAATGCAGCCTAAAAGAAACACATATGGACTTCCCTCCCCCAACAAACTATAATGCTGATGGGAGAGGAAGTCAATAACAGAAACCAAAGAAAAGTACAGATTGTGGTCCATGAAATACCCAAAAAAGGTTGTCCTCTCCGGAAATCTTGGGTTTAATTTTGTTTTTATAAGTGTATGTTCTACACCTCTTTATTATACATTAACATAAACCATTTCAGTCTTTCTGCAAATGTAATTACATCAAATGACCCAATGACACTAAAAGCACCAACAATTTATGGGTTTAATTTCCAAAATCTGAAAGTGGTAAAACAAAAACTTTATCCTTATTTGATACAAGATGAAAAATGTGATCTTCTGGTCAAACAAATTACCTCCTACAACTGAAATAACCAAAGAAATTGTAGGTTTTTGACTTTTTGGTACCAAGCAATAAGAGAACAAGTTTGTATACCGTAACATATTTACTAGACATATCATGATACAATTCTTCATCAAGAATAGCAATCAACTTGGGATATAAATATTTATACATATGCATTTGGTTGAATATTTTTTTAAACGACAACTATATATTACCAAAAAAAGAGAACAAGTACAAAGAAGAAAACATAACATAAGGTTCGTAAGAAGCATCACTCATCAAAGCCGAAACAAACAACTTCTGTTGCTATATATTTACCTTATCTTTTATACACATCTTTTTTTGACATAAATGCATATAAATGAAAAGTCGAGAACCGGATTTCCGTTGTGTACCGGAGAACCAACAAATTTATCATGAATAACGGATGTGAATTTTTTACAACATGATGAATGACTTGTCTATTTCTTACAACATGACATATTCTCGGTGGTTTTCAGTTCACAATGGGAATGTGATTTCTCATGCAGAACTAATCTATGCATATACAAAATTCTGGTTGGGTTAGATGATTAACCTTGGTTTTATCAATGATTTTAAAAATAATAGTTATACGAGATTAGAGATGGTTTAATTTACAAACTCAACCATTAGTATAAACCATACAAACAAATTAATTGAGATATTTATAAAAATTATGAGGATTCATTTATTATGATTTGAAGATTTATGAAAGATTATCAGAATTTATTTATTTATTTATGATCAACGCTTTATTTTATGAAACAACCGAGATATTCATTGGACTAAATGGACATTTAAGATCGATTTAGAAAGATTTAACAGCTTGTGATAGACGTACGCTCTATGATAGTAATTTACAGATAAAAATCACTTGTTTCAAAATGACACGTTTTTCCTTTCTTGTCATATCAATAAAATTAAGAACACATAAGTTTTTTTTTAATTCATTTAATTCATATTCATTTTCGACAATAAAATTTTTTTACATATGATTTTTATCCGTAATTTATAACTATAATTTTGAAGCCCTGTCATTCTTGGAAACTTGGATGGGTCTATTTTAAAAAAATCAACAGTAAGCCCAAGCCCAATCCCATTTCAACGATCCCTTACCAAGGAGGGAGGCGAGGCTAAAGTGACTCTGTTGAGTATAGAATGCATTCGTTGATCGACGACGAATAAACAACATCGAATCGAAATCTCCAGGGTTTTAGAGGGCTTTAAGCTTTCTCCGATCTCTATCGTTTGCTGTTCATCACTGAATTATTGGAAAATGTCAGGCGCAGCTCAATCTTTCAGTGGCAATCTTAAGGTACACTTCTATGTCGATTCTGAAATTTGTTTTTGTTTATTTGTATATCGGTTTTCTTATATAGTATATGTATGTTCAAGTGTTTGGATTCTATTGAATTGGTTGATGAAGAGATCTCTGGGCACGCTATCTGTTTGCAATTATCGGAAATTGTAATATGATTTGTTTAAAAATTGTAATCACACTTCTACTGCGGGATTTATAATCATCCAATTGGATTCTGAACAATTTATTCTTCCTGGTGACGTCTGTGTGAGGATGTTGTAGAACTCTAGCATTTAGGCCTATGTTTTTATCATTATAGTAACTAGATAGGAGCGGAAGTGTTGAACAATAGCCTTTTATTCTCGATTAATATTGATTATTCTATATTCCTGTGTTTATTAGAAGCAAACTTTTAATACCATTTGGTTAGTTATAGATGTTGATTATCTGTGGTGACTTGTAGTCTTGTACTCTTGTAGCAAGACGAGGTCATTAGGAGAGGTAGATGTTAGTTAAGATTGACATGGAGTAGTGAAGAGACAGTTGCATGAGTGGTGTCTATCAAAGGATTTGGCCCTATATTCAAAAGGACCCCGTTCATGCTAGGAGCCCTAGCGGAGTAGGGGGTTCACCGGTTAAAGTTTACATTTGTGTTGCACTTTGTTGGACTTTGTGCTATGCAGATGATTCAGCAAAGTACAAGTCTTTTATGCTTTCAACAATAAAGACCTATTCTGGAGGGCCACGTCTACTTAGATAGGCTTTGATTTCTTCTTTGTTTATTCCTATTTTTTAGCCTTTTTATTTGTAGCTTTCTCTCTCTGTTTTGGCTATAAAAGCCTGTAGTTGCTGCTGATTCGAATAAGAGAAAACATTGTTGGCTTCTCTATAAGTTTGTTGTGTTCATATTTGTTTCCTGTTTAAGTAATACTACTCTTCACACTTTATATAAGGTGTTCTAGTTTCATTTTCGCCCATGAGATATATTGCTAAATGCACCCTTACCCCAACTACGAGTTATTGGTGAAGTATGACCAGGGTAGTAGACTAGGTGTAGGGTATTGTAGCTAGTGTGGGTGGGAAGAAGGGAGTACAGAGGCTGGTGGATGTGTTTTCTTACACCCCTTATGTTTCAATGTGCCTATTTCTTCGGTCCTTGTTCTTTTCTGTTGCATACCTTCTACTAGTCTTAGTTCTTAGTTCTTTGTATCTCACACTTTTGCACAAGCCTGATATCCTCACAGAAACAGTCTCTCTACCCTTCGAGGCAGACCGGAAAGAGGTCAGGTCTTCGTACACCCCTTCCGACCCTACTTTCAAGTGGGATATACCGGGTTGGTTTGGTTATGTACTTCTGTTTAGTGATAATCTCAAGTTCTCAATGTATAAATGAAAATTTTGATTGAATTGTTTTTAATCATGTCAGTCATCAGAACCATGTGGGAATCTGTATGGAGGGCATGTTGAGTCGTTGACTTCCGTTTCACATTGTGTCAAAGTGTTGTGTGTGAGGGATGGTGCTAAATAGTAATCGCTGTATAATTTCACTATTTTTGGCAACGAGTTACTGTCCAAGAACTTCTTTTTCAGATTCATAATTTGTTGAAGATAATGAGTTTTGGTTGGTTAATGAGCTTGGTTTCTTCTGTTGTCTTTCTGTGTTAATGCTGTTAGTTGGTACATCATACGATTGCCCTATAACTTGATCAAGAGTTCATTATACCTTTTGGGAAGGAAACTCTTGATGTTAGTTATGCAGAGCTCTTTACAACAATCCATAGAACACCTTTGGTTAATTTAAAGTAAACATTTTGGTTTGTGGTGATTTGTGCAGTCAATTTTCATAAACTGGGAGTTGGGGTCCATTAGATTTACAGAAATTAAACCAAATATTTCTTAATTTCTTTTTGCAGAAAGCAGTTGCTGGTATAAGACGTATCAATTTGGATGGACTGAGATGGAGAGTCTTTGATGCCAAAGGCCAGGTACGCTGTCCTTCTTCCCCCATAGAAATACAAAAACCACAAATTTTGACTCTGTCTTTTGCTGGGAGTTGGCAAATGGAGGTTATTGGTTAGAATATATATATATATACTTATAATCAGCTCCTAATATGCCTTTCTTTGCAAGCGTCCACTGATTTCCACTCAAGCAACATCAAAATATTTTTTGATTTTTAGACTGCCTTGCAGCTGAATTGGTACATTTGCTCTGTTTCCCATTCATTTTAGATTCGCTTCGAGTTGAAGTTCCATGGTTCAGAGACTTGATTCACCAAGTATTTGTATCTTAGTTGTTGCCTATTCCTTCAGATAACTGTCCTTATACAATGCACAACTTTTGGCAGTAATCTGTTGTTTCTCAGTTCAATCAATTTCTTTCACCATGGTCACATCCTTTTGATATCATTTGATTGATGTTATTGTTTATCTTGGATTTGGGCTTTCAAACTCGCTTTGACAAGTGTTTTCTGATTTCACTGATTCTGATGTGGGTCCAATTTAAGACGCATGTTCCATTTAGTGTTCTGTTTTCTTGTAGGATTTATGGTTTCCTTGTATCAAGTAAACCAAACCAAAGAAACCCAGTGTATCCACACAGATATAGGATTGGGAAGGGGGTATGATGTAAGCAAACCTTGCCTCTACCCCAAACCGTAGAGAGGTTGTTTCCTTGAAGACCCCCCACTTCCAAAATAAAAGCAAAAAACATAGCAAGCATTTGAAGTACTACGTAGCCAATTGTGTGATCAACGGCATAATGGTAATGTTATCAACGTATTTCTTTTTGGAAACGCAGCTTTCCATCCTTTCAAGCCTTTATGACATATCTAATCTTCAAACAGGGAATTCTTTGAGATAAGCATATCAACATTATTCAATTTTTCACCAAAAAAATTGTGGGAAATGACAGATCCTAACCTCTTACGCAGGTCCTAGGGAGATTAGCATCGCAAATATCTACAGTGGTTCAAGGGAAAGATAAGCCTACATATACGCCTAATCGTGATGATGGAGATATGTGCATCGTGCTTAATGCTAAAGACATATGCGTCACCGGGAGAAAACTCACTGATAAATATTACCGGTGGCACACCGGGCAAGTATCATCTCTTCTACCATTTTCTCTTAACAATTAGCTTCATAGTTGCTGAATGGCTGCTAATTATCCAACCCTCCCTCTTCTTTGGCTATATTTGGCAAATTAGCTGATAAGCTAGCTGTTAGAGCATCTCCAACATATTCTCCAAAAGTTTTTCAAAATGGAGAACCAAAGTTCAAAATCTCTAAACAAATTGCATTGAACTCCAATATATTCTCTATTTTATTACATAATTAATTATGTTATTAAAATATTTCACACTTAATTAAATATGATTTCTCACTCACATACATTTCATTTCAAAGTTACCTATTGGTGCAATGTAATAAAAAAAAAACCATCTCTCTCATGATAATCATTTTCGGAGAGATCTCCAAATTTGGAGAAATTTACATTCTCTCCCACTTTCTCCATTTTGGAGAATCTGTTGGAGCAAAATATTGCCCAAAATCTTCATTTTCTCCATTCTGGAGAATCTGTTGGAGATGCTCTTAGGCAATAAACTAGTAAAAACTAGCTGATAAGCCAAATGACAATGTAAAATGACCTATAAAGTACATGTTGAAAAATTAATTGAAAGAAGGAGGGCATAATTGGAAAATAAAAATGGAAAAAAGCCCGTGGAGCTCATTGAAATACTCTACTTCAATTAATGTTAAAAAGCTAACCAAACGAGGCTTCTTTATTAAGCTAGCTTATGGTTGCCAAACATAGCTTTTTGTCTAATATCACATATCATTAGCTTACAGGTATATAGGCCACCTCAAGGAAAGGAGTTTGAAGGATCAAATGGCCAAGGATCCTACAGAAGTCATTCGGAAAGCTGTTCTACGTATGCTCCCGAGAAATAAACTGCGTGACGTGAGTTCATAAAATTTCCTATGGTGTTTGAATGATAAGGCAAAATGCTACAAAGTTTGATTTGTTCATATTTGGTATAACGAATATTTTTTCTATCAATCGATGTAAAATAAAGTTTCAGGTTTTTCAATTTTGTACCCATTTTAACCACTTACTTGTTGGTCTTGTAACATTTGATGACGTAAATGCCCATTTACAAAAGAGTTCCAGCTAAATGGACGATAAACTTGACATTGATGTTATCACTTGTTACAGGATTAGCAGGTTACCGGTCAAAATGCGTAAAAATAGGAAATTTTGAAACTTCGTAACATCGATTGTGGAAAAAAAATAATCTTTGTTACACTAACTAAGCATTTTGATGTATTTGGCACCCAGATTGAGCATAAACTGTTTCCATTGGTTGTTCATTGTGCCATGAAATTATTTCACATTCTGGCGTTGCTTTTCTTTTATATTGCTTATATTGAACGTTAAAAGCTTCTGCACTGATTCAGGATAGAGATCGTAAACTGAGAATATTTGCTGGCGGTGAGCACCCGTTTGGCGACAAGCCCCTTGAACCGTATGTGATGCCACCTCGACAAGTACGTGAAATGCGTCCACGTGCAAGACGAGCAATGGTTCGAGCTCAAAAGAAGGCTGAGCAACAAGAAGGTGGTCAAAATATAAGCAAAGGCAAAAAAAGAGAAGAAGCAGAAGCAAGTACCTGAATTCCTCGACCAATTAATATGGAAACAAAGCATCATAAAGTGGTTACGTTTTCTTTTGCCTGCTTTTATTTGTATGATGTTGCTTTATTTTAATCTGCTTTTCAAAATTTTATCATATTTGGCTCTCTTTTTTACACTTGCAGGTTTTTATGGAAACAATTATCTACCATTTTGTGGGTTTATTTTCCTACATCCTACCTGTCAAGTGGGATATATTAACTAGGTTTGTTTGGTTTTTATAGGGAAATTGACAGAAATAGTCAATCGGCAAATAAGGTTTCATTTTTTAGCCATTTTCTTACCCAAATTCAATTTTTAGCCGATCCTTACGTAAGGATTCAGAAACCTTACGTATACGCCTAAGGATTCAGAAATCTTACGTATACGCGTAAGGATTCAGAAACCTTACGTATATGCGTAAGGATTCTTCTTTTTTAAGGATCAACTAAAAAGTGAATTTTAGTCAGAAAATAGCTAAAATGAGCTGTCTATTTATGTAAACTAGAAGGGAACTCGTGCAATGCATCCAGACACATTTCTATTTCAATGTTTCGTTTATTTTTTTATCCATGTCGWTATAATACAATTTTATGTGGTTTTGAGAAAGCGATACTGTTTTTATTTTTGAATAAAATATAAATTTGAAAATATCATATAAAATTTGCAAAAAATATATCAATACTAGTATCAAATTATTTAATTAAAAGTTCTTGTTTGTTTATTTTTTTTAATTCAAAATTTTTTATTATAATTTAATTTAATGTAACGAATTAACTTAATTTAGGTTTAATAATATTTTTTTATAAAAATAATAATTAAGTATTTTGTTAGAATTCAATGATTATTCTAATTATATTTTAAATATTTTTATATTTTAAAATAAGATGTTTATTCTCTATTTGATTATGTTTATCTGCAGTTAGTTACATGAATTCAAACATAGAGCTTATGCATAATTTACTTGTAATATTGAATTTTAAATAATATATATTAATAAACAGTACTTTATGCATAAAAAATATTTTTTAAAGTTTTTGTTAAATGTTTTATAATATAGTATAGATTTGCGGTTTGTTTTTATACCATCCCCTTCCTTTTTCAGTTTTACACAATGCAATACTAACTCCAATTGTTCTCTGTGTGTTTTTTCCTATGGAAAGCACTTTCTTTAAGCCCACCTAAGTTCAATATATGTCAAATACAATACAATGAAACTTATTTTAATTCATGGATCTGCAATTGCATACAGAGAGAGAGAGTGTATGTGTGAGAGAGAGGGGTTCACGGGAAAGCCCAAAAAATGAATAACCATTTATTTGTATGATATACACAAATACAATTGAAGATACTTTCCGGTTTCCATGTACATACAAATTACTTGCATGCACATGTATATACCGTATAAATGCATGATTATTAGAATATTCCTTAGTTTTTCATTTTTTTATTCTTTGTACGATTTTCACTTGAACCTGAACCTATATATATTCTACAACTTACAAAAGATTGTCAACAATAAATTATTGTAAAAATTGAGAACATTGAAGTACAACTTCTTTTCAACAACCCCACACTAAAAAACTTCTTTTCAACAACCCCACACTAAAAAGCTAAAAGTTACACAAAGCAAAAGAAAGCAGAATGAAGAGGCAAATAGTTTTAAAAGGAAACAAAACTCAGATCATGTGCCACAACAAAAAAAACCCCTACGATTTTAACACAAAGAAGAAAAGAATCAAGTAGTCAATCACTTGTAGACCCATCATCATCATCATCATTTTCATGTTGTGTCACCACTCTCTCTATAAACCTTTTCCTTACTCCTTCAATTACAGCTTCTCTAGAAGCCTCACCTTCACTCTGCCCGTCGTCAAGGACCGGATCCGACTGGCACAGAATCAGAGCAACACCTGCACACGAACCCGACAAATCTAAGCAAGCAAAAAAGAACAAGTTTTCATCAACGAAAATTTGAAACACAAAGAATTTCCTGCAAACTTTTGTATCTTAATGGTAGTATATACCATACTAAATTCAAAGTGTCAATCATAAACATGACCACCTACCACAAAATGACCCATTTTTTAGGGACTAGCACAAAATTACGACCAATTTCGTAAATTCTTTTTGTAAAATCAATGTGAGAATATGTGAAAACCCATTAAATTACGCTCCAAAAGGGCCATTGAACAGAGAATGAGGAGTTCCAACATATATTGAGGAGAAAGCGTCTAAGTCTAGTCAATGTGGGGACTCCTAACACGGCCCCTCCTATGGAGGCTAGACGAGCAAAGATGTCCAAGAGCGTCAAAGAGGTGGTTAGAAGGGCAAAGACGTCCTACTCTCCCAGATGGTATACTTTGGCTCTAATGCCAAAGTGAAAATATGTATAACCCCAAAAGGTCTAAGGTTCAAATCTCACCAAAGATGAGGACCATGCATGAGTATTTGCTCCATATAAATTTTATATACTTGAAAAAGAAGTGTACCTTCTGGAGTGCATCTCCGACCAAAAGTATGTAAACCTACATAATTTGCCTTCACAGCGCCATTATTGTAAACCAACAAAGTGGGAAGATTACAATCAGGATATTTAGGAATGCAGTCGGTTGATATAATTCGAACAAATTTTGTTGCCGGATACATTTTTGCAAGTTCTTCTAGACATTGCATCAGTACTCCACATTCAGGGTACCTATTTAAAGATCAGCACCTATTAACAAACATATACACAAGTATATATATATACACACATATATATTCCCTGTACCATAACAAACTTACAAGCTAATACCAATTGCTAATACGGAAGATGGGAAGAAGATAAACCAATAAACTCAGACAAGAGAATTAGGCCCCATTTCGTTTATGGGATATCGTGGGATCTGGAATTGGGTACCATTCCAACCCCACAGTTTGGCTTAGTGGAAAGTACGGAATTGAAATCCCAGGATTTCAATCTTTCAATGAAATCTCACAAACATGGGATTTCCCCGTAGGAATAGTTGGTATTTCATGGGATTTCATAGGATTTGTTTGCAATAATGTTTTGAAATATGTTAAAAACACTTGTTTGTAATAATAAATTAATAGAAAGGTAATTTAATTATTTTTATAATTTTTTTTTTTTTTTTGGAAAGGGTGTCCTAAGCTATGCCTAGACTAATCCCGACAAATTGTAACTGCAAGAAATCAGCCTTGATAAACTCAATAATGGCCACAATTGTTGTGTACGTCTGGAATCGAACCCTAGGCAGATGAGATATTCCACCACATCCACCAGGGCCTCAACTAAACCACTACGCCACAACCCTTGTGGTTTATAATTATTTTTATAAGTTACCTACAAAGAATGGAATTCAGTTCCATTCCAAATCCTACAAACCAAACACATCAAAGATTCCAAATCCTTCCACGAAATCCAAATCCCCCCAAAACATTTTGTCAAACCAACGGGCCATTATAGACCTAACAAATTGAACGAGTGAAGGTAATGGGCAAATTACCCGTCTTTGTATAAAATAACAACCACCCAAACATCTGATGGAGCTTGTGATACCTCACGAACAAAATCTGATCCAGAAATGGGTATAACTGACCCAAACTTTGCAATTTTCACCATTTGCTTCATTTCAGATAACCTCTTTCTCCTTCAAGAACAACAATGAAAAATAAGAATGAAGTAATTCAATACCAAAATCCGATACTTTAAGCTCAAACAGCATACTTGGTTTCCTTGGGAACTACTTAAACAGAAGCTCCTTCTGTTCCCGTATCAGAATCCATTTGGCCAAATAATTTCTTGAATCTTGCCCCCGATATAAGTCTTATTATTAAACAAAAGTTTCTGTGTAAACAAAAATACTCTATAGGATTACATGTCTTTTTAATGTCTACAATTTCGGAAGGTGGAATCTAGTCATGTAACTAAGTTTTCTCTTCCCTGAACTGTATATATGTTTTTGAGCAAGAAGTTGATTACAGGGCAACCCTGACTGGCTCGACATGAACCCGCCTCCTAGGAACCAAATCTGAGAAGGATTCCAGAGCTGATTCACCGGCTGAGACGAGCGGAGGGGTTCAAGCGCGTCTCCCGTTCAAACTTGAACCTGTATTTGTGCTAGATTAGGAAACATAGGTCAACTAATGATGTGGCTTCATTATAGTATACAATTCCATGTGCACAAGAGAAGAACAAAGGCTATGGTTTTTTGAGCTTATTGAAAAGTCCCCGTTTAATAGCTTAGATTTTGAAAAGCTACATCAGGCAACATGTCAATAAGCTCCGGAATTCTTTCCACTTTTTTTCCTTATATTTTTCCAAATAATTTTCCAACATATCCATTTACAGCGTCATCTAGCCTTATCTGTTAGTTTTTACCACACATGACTAGCTTTCAGGCTAGCTTATCCGTAGCCAACTATGAGGAAACACTGGTTTTGATATAAAGACCAAAATGTGACCCTTTCTTGGGAAGGGAAGGAGTATTATTTTCTCCACTAAAGATGCAGCTTTCTTCAATTTCATCAGTAATGTAAATGGACCAAGGAGGGCAACTACTGAAGGCGATTTAGTCTGAAAGCAAAATTTATTAGGGTTAATGAATCTACACTGAAACCCTGGTTCCCTAGCTCGGAAATGGAGCAATCAAGCTTTAGATTGGACCTAAATGAGATTGAATTATCAAATCACACACTCCGTCCTCCCGGATTTGGGTAATTTTTTGCGTAAATCACGTCTAAGTTTCTACTGTTGAAGCTAATGTCATGCTAAAACAGAAACAAAAATTCGGTAAACATACTCAGAATTGTACGATTCCAAGTACCTGTATTCTTCGAGGAATCGATCGTCATCCAAATCATCCTCCAGATCTTCGAGTTCCTCTTCTGTCTTGTTATCGATCCACGATTTGTCTTTAGGTTTAGAATCTTCGTCTTGAGCAGGAGCAAAAGGATCGGGTTTGAAGACCGGAGGTTTGGGAGGCAAATTTCCGTACTTTCTTTGAAGATCTTCCCATTCCGTTGATGTTCCTTCGACATCTTTGTACACAAAGTGATAGTCAGCCATTGCTGTTTAGTGATCGATCTTTGTCTCCTGACAGTTCTTCAACCTTCGGGATTGGTCATCATATGAATCCTTTTGAACAAGAAATTTCTCGAGAAAAGCAAACGATGGAATTTACAATTTATTCGATTAGTTATTTGGTACTCGTTAAGTTGCATGGAAAGTAATTTATTAAATAAGCATAAAAAAGCCCCTCTTAATTTATATAGATAGATTAACCGGTTATGTCGATAGTTGCTAAATGTTTTATAGTGTAGATATAAAAATAAAAATAAAATTGTTTATCAACGACTCGAATCAAACCAGAAAATATCCCGTCATTTATATAATGCAAACCTTAATTCTCATTCTCAACCAACCAAAATAAATGTGGGTGTTACACAATTGCATTTAGATATGTAACTTGTAATTGATCGATTTTAATTATAAAATAAATACATTAAAGTTAAAAATATTAAAGAAAAGCAATAATTTAAGGTGATTAATGACCGGCCACGGCCAGTATGTGGTGAAATGATTCCTGGAAATCAATTGGTCTTTGCGGTGCTCATCTACCTGTGGGACCCACCTCCAAGGAGAGTCACACTCTAGTCACGTGCCAAATAAGGCGCGTGGAGGAATTCAAAAAAATTTAGCTAAGAGGACACGCGTCTCAATTGCTGACAAAGAACCACTTCCCCACTTTGTTTTAAAAAAAGGGCATATACGTGTCCTCTTTATCGGAAGTGCTTCGAGAAATGATACGCTACTTTTATGTGGGTCCCATCTAATCTTTCTCAACCAATCAGATCTCTTTGATGTTTTTGATCTTATTGCGTTGCCCTAGACACGTGTCCCATTCACCGGCGACCAGTTTCCCTATCTCTCTCTCTCTCTCTAAGCCATCATGATTATCATCGGCTCCGTTAGGTTTGGAAATAGAGATAGAGAGACAAAAAGGCGGAGAGAATCTATGGCTGGTGGTGGTGGAAAGAGGCGCGATGAGACTGGATGCGCCGGCGGAGATGCCAAGGATGATGATAAGCTGATAATCAATCAGATCATGTTGAGATTCCGGCCGATCGCTCCGAGACCTGTTAGTTCCGTCGGTTGCGTACCGTTGAAGGATGGGATGGTTTCGATGAAAAGAGCGAAGAGGAAGTATGTTCGAGTGAAGAAGAAGAAGATAGGAGCTGCAGAGTGTAATTTGACTGTAAATGATGATAAAAGATGGATGAATTTAGATAAAACGGTGGCGATGTTGAAGGTTTGTAGCGGAAGTGAGTTTGTTGTTACAGATCCGATGGAGAAAGTACCGGATTGCATCAGTTTTGATGTGAATAATATCAAAATCGGAAGTTTAATAACACCGGCTCCGCCATCGTTAGGTCTGCATGAAGTAGATCTGGCGATTCCAGTGAAGCAAGGGCAGGTGGTTGAGTCGTGGATCACGATGGAATCGGTGACAGGTACGTGTGAGGATGGGCGGCGGTTGCGATACACCGACGATGAGATATTGAAGGATCTGGAGATGGATAATTGTCCAGGTTTCACATCGAACAGTTACGATGAAGTTGAGTGGGTGAATCTAGCGTACCGGAGGATGGTGGATCCAAATCCTGAGGGTGGATCACCGCCACCGGAGGTGTTGGTATGGCTAGGGGTAAAAGTGGAAAAATCTATGGTTGACTGCTACTGGCCAGCTTTCTCATGCAGAGTGAGAGTTGTTTATCAGTTATCGGAGATCAAAAAGAAGCAGATGACGGTGCCGTGTGACGTCTGGAAGATGGATTCCGGTGGGTATGCATGGCGGCTTGACGTCAAAGCTGCTTTGAGCTTGGGGCGGTAGAATTAATTATCGATCAAGATCAATTTTTCCAAACAGGTAAATTGATTATATATATATATATATATGATTATGTATATATAAGTGTGTTCATAAGAACTAATAATGAAATACTTAATTAGAACACTGATTAGTAGTATATTTTGTGTTTAATTAATCTGTAAAATGGATGATCATCAGAAGAAAGTGTATATCTTGTGGCTGTGGCTGTGGCTGCTAACATCAAGCTTATATATAGCAAGCCAAAGATGACTTGTAAGATTTAAATAATAGTGATAACTGGTGATCTTCAAAGAGGAGATTAATTGGGTACTGTTGAAAATCAACATACAAGATATATATAAAGAATCATACCTTTTTATGATAATTGGTTGATGTCTTAATTTGCTGAGTAATTGGTATAAAATTTTGATGTTTTCTGATCAGTAATTAAAGATATAATCAAGTAGTGTGTGCGGGTGCATGCGCATAGATAAAGATTTAAGCGAGAACACATTTATTTCATAAAAACAGAGAATTCAAAACTTTATTATCACATGTGATAATACACGTGAGGGATCTAGTGGTGTGTGTGCACGACTTGTCCTACGACCCACATCTCTGATTTACTATTGTATGTGATTGACTATATGAAAATTAAATTAATTAAGGGTGTTTTCAATTTTTTGTAAAATGAAGGTGTTTTGATTGGGTATATCATAGATCCAAGTTTATTGGACCTTATTTTTATTGTGTAATGCCTTGGTCATTTATGAGGTTTTAAATAATAATTATACAGTTAAAATAACCAATTTAATTTTGCTTTAAAGACTGAAGTAATTCTCTCAACCACACACATTTAATTAATGGGAGCAAAATAAAAGTCGATCACATGCAATGATCGATGTTATGTATATGTGTGTGTTTTGAAGGTGTTTGTAAATAAGTTTGATTTTTGCAGTGTGGGCAGAAAACTGAAGATGGAGAAATAATATTCAAGCTTACCATTTCTTATGAACTTGTGATTCTAGTAAAGTTATGGGTTCTGTTTGAAATCAAATAAATATTGAGAATCATGAATGACATGACATACACAGAAACTAATCAACTCAGTGTCAGTGTGATAACAGCAGGAAGAAGGTGTAGAAAGTAAGCAAATTGAGTAACAAATTTTAACCAAAAATGGAAATATAGACTCACATACACACACACATATATACATATATGTATATTTATGTATATATGCGGGGGGTGGGGGAGGGGGGGAGGTGTGGTGGGGGGGAGTTGGAAGTAGGATTAGATCTGAAAGGGAATCTATTTAAATTTCTAAAAGTGGACATAGTACAGCCTTAATTGTTTCAAAAACTTAACGTATATATAGCTTTCTACATCAATTAGAGAGAGAGAGAGAGACGAGATTGATTGACAACGGTAACTATTTAAAAAAACATGAAAAATGGATGAATCATATGTGATTTTATATTAATATACATACAAAATCACATATGATTCAAATGACTTTCCCCTGTGATCTGAAGACCCAGCCACAAGTCGTCCGGACACTTTTTTTAACCATTAATGTAAAATCACAAGCGATTTGTTCGTTTTCGTGTTCTTTTAAATATATCGCTTTTCATTATATATATATATATATATATATATATAGACTTGGGATCATGTGAGTCCAATTGTTTTTCGTGAGACCCGTAAGACCAATTCTCAACCCTTGGATTCGATCTACAATCGTCAGATCTGAATATTCATAAATGTCACGAGACTTCTTAATAATTACAAAATTGCCACCGTACAACTTTAAACCATTAGATCATATGCTTATAAAGTTGATCAATGAACATAAATTAGTCTTACGGGTCTCACGAAAAACCCTTGGTCTCACGTGAACTCAACCCCATATATATATATATATATATATATATATATATATATATCCCTTTCCATTATTTTATATATATTACATGAGAATTAAGTAGATATATACTATTGTTTGATAGCAGGATGTGAACCTATTCTTTTAAATGTGACCGTAATTAAGGGTGACACGTTTCCACATAGAATTAGACAAGATGATTGGGACAAATTCCTACTTAATTTCACTTGTAATTCTGCTGGTTAATTTAATTTACTCCCAACCTTCCTTAATTGGTAATTACTTTAGAAATTGATCTTTTAATTAAGTTGTAGGTTACTTACGGCTTAATGAGGTTAACGGCCAGGACGACTTACTCTGTTATTATACAAAAATGTTTCTTTACAGTTTAATCAATAAGTCAGTAAGTCAAAATGACTTTATGGAATAAGTCAGGTACCGGTGTCTTTATTTGTCCCAATTAAAACCATGTCAAACAAGTTATTATGTATCGAAACTGCTCTAGAAATAATCCAACCATCTCTTTTTTTATCTCCCTCCAACAACAATACGATTCTATTCAGACAAATAACTTAATTTATGTAAGGTTCAATGAAAAAACAAGTAAACAAACTCTATAGTCTACTTAATTTGACTGGCTTAATTGAAAAAAAATATCTGACTAAAACTAGGCTTCTAAAAATCTCTCGAGACATTAATACAATAATTTAATCAATTTAGTTTTTATTTTATATGAAAATAATTATATATAACTATTTCATTTGGTGACTACTTGAACCTTCCTTAAAGTATACGTTAATTAATCTGTCACAAAATGACAAAGTTTGGTTTAGACCTACTTAATTATTCACCTATGGTCTAATTAATCCTACATTAACCCTTAATTGGTTTCTTCTTGCCCAACCAGCTAGGACTAGTGTTCAAAAATGCACGACATAACCACAAGGGTGGTGCCTGGTTGGTTTGAGTTTGGCTCCAAAAATCAAAAGTATCAGGAGGTCTCAGGTTCAAATCCAAGGAGAAATAAAAATCTCTTTGTGGCCACGGAGGTTCAAATGCGGTGACTCCGGGCTATCTGCAAAGCAGGTGGTCGTTCTGGGATTAATCAGCTCGCATAGCGGGTTGGATATCCAGGTTAATAAAAAAAAAAGGCACGACATGCTGTTATATGGCGCAGTCGCATTTCACCATTATTAAATGGTCCATAGCGTTTCTGTAAGGTACGACGAGGCGTCATGGCATGCCTTTTTTTTGTAAGACGTGCCAAAAATATTTTTTTTATTTTTTATTTTTTGTGTTTTTACAATCACAGTTTCACAAATTCATAAACATCACGGACTCACGATTAAAATTAAGTTGTAAAATTATTTTTCAAAGTTCTATTTTAAATATTTAATCAAAAATATATTTTTATAATAATAATCTATATGATTTTTCTTCTTCTAACATGAATGTACATCTTTTTAATCTCATTATTTGATTAATTTAATATATAAAACTCTATATATGATATACAAATTTATCGTCTTATATGAAAAACGTCGCGTCACCACCACGTGACACTTTTTGACCCTTGGCTTGGACCCATGAAACGGTGACCTTGGAAAATTTAAGAGCAAGTGGCCTTTGTTTTGACAATCGAAAATCTTCCACTTAATTATTTATTTAAAAATGAAAATGTGAGTAAAAAGGAAGATTGAGAAATAAGGTGGTAGATGAGTTAATTAGAAGGGAGTATGAATAATAATCTAAAAGTAGAAACATGATTAATGTTTATAAAAAAAACATAACAAATTATGATATAAAATTAATGGATTTATATGTAACAAATTCTCATGGATAATTGGATGAGGGGAAAAGAGGAGGGTGGTTGTAGTGGTAGGGTAGGGAAAGGGGTAGGTGAGAGAGAATATATATATATATATATATATATATATATATTACTATTTAACAAAATAAGAAAAATATTTTTAATGTATATAATCATATGTGATTTTACATTAAATTGAAATGGATGACTTTAAGGCCACTTAAGTCGCATGGCAAACTCGTCTGGATCATGTATGATTTTGTACATTAATGATCTTTTTCTTATTTTATTAAATAGTTAGTGTTGTCATTTAAATCTAACCATATACATATGTACATACATATATATACATATATCAAGTTTCTGATGAGAACATTAATTAAATAAAAAAACATGAAAACGGTTAAATTATATGCAAAATCAAATGTGGTTTTACGCTAGCGGTCACATAAGGTTGTGCGGACGACGTGACGTGCGACCTAAAGTCTCATGAATCACATATAATTCAACCGTTTTTTTTTTCTATTATCTGGTTATTATTCTCTTATGAGTCATTTCTCTCTCTCTCTCTCTCTCTTTTGAATATCTTATTTGAATGGTTATTATCATAATTAAACAATCACATAGGAATTTAATTATTTTTTACTTTTTAGCCATCTTTAATATTCTCCCTATAAAAACAACCAAGAAATCGCAAGTCAACATCGTAAGACACCTTTCCTTGCAAAGTATCTGACATTTTTTGACGTATCCAGATGAAAAATGGGTCTATCACAAAAAAAATGAAAGGACATGTGTCGATTAACGACTTTGTTGGATCAAGCGAGAAGAATACACCATAAGAAATTAAGAACGTTGATATATATATACACACACATACTAGTTGTGTACCCATGCAATGTAGCGGGATGCAATCTGTCATCTATACCTAGATAAAGATTAAAAACTTACCATTGACGGTTTAAACTAAATAAACGAAAAAAGACATCTACTGTTAAGAATTGTATATATTAACAAATGAAATTTAAATATCAAAACATCATCATCAGACAGAAAACAACTTCATGGATACAACAAAACAAAAACTTTAACCATCCAGAATCTCCTATCTCCATTCCACCATTCTTCATTTTTCATTAAAATAAGCCCAATAAATTGATTCCATCCACCAATAAAGATGATTACATCCACAATTTTGGATCCATCACACAATACAAGTAAACCTCACAAAACCCTAACAACAATAAATCATCAACAAGATAGTATAAAGAACACTTTGTAATACTACAAGGATAAACATCGAAACATGTATGTTTCATTGCAAACTACAGTGAAAACAACTAATGCAAGAAACATCTGGGCAATAATTCAAAAAGGGAATTCACCAAATGCAATCAAATTAAGAAAGACCAAATAAACAGATCTACCCAAATCAAGAAAATAAATAAACAGTCAACTATTTTAGAAAACCCAAATCGATCCTCAGGTATTTCCATGGCGTTTCTTATGCCAAATCAAATAAAAAGAAAACATATAAACATAAGACCAATTACCTTTCTTGAGATACCAGGAGGCAGAAGAAGAGACCGGGAGCTGCTTGGATCGAGAGGCAGAAGAAGAGATCGAGAGCTGCTTGGATCGAGAGGAAGAAGAAGAGATCGAGACCCAAAGCTTGAAGTGTTTAGGATCGAGAGTGAAGTTGAGAGCTGAAAGCGAGATCTACAGAGAATTGATAGATCGAGARTGAAATCAAGAGTGAGAGCGAGATCTGGAGGAGAAGAGTGAAATTGATTTCAGAGTTCGGTTTTGCACTGAATATTTCAGAGGACGGTAAGAGCTTTTCAGCTCTTATTTACAAAAAAAATCAAACAGTCTGAAAATAAAAATGTCTAACCGATTCAGACTTAAGAGGTAATAAGAGGTTTTTTGCAAAAAACAAACAAGCCCCAACACAAGATATTTGCAAAACAGTTAAAAAAAATCTTAACATGTATCACAGTTTTTCTTTAAAAACAATTAAAACTCACGTCTGGTAACAACTTAGCTATTGCATTTGTTGTACGTTCACCCTCTTTCTTTCTTTCTTTCTTGTATAACCAAATAAACAAGTTATTATGATTTCTAAAAAAACAAATTAAACATGACTGGCGTTCTTCTTTATGTTGTATACCTAAATGACACATTTTTTACCTTGTTTAAATTCGTAACACACTTTTATTATTTAACCCTTGACCAAATCATCTTTTTGCCTCCAAACTACTATGGCTATTGCAGTATAGATCAAACATCGTAGCCACTATGGGAGAAGTGTGTAGAAATTCATCCGATTAAATTAGAATCGATTTGCCATAATTGGAAACTCATGTAATTAGATCAGACCAGATCCAAAATTTCAACATCTAAATTAATTCAGTCAGTTTTTAGATGACCATCCATAATCTAATAAAACATAAATGATTCAGTCCAGTTACCCAACATTCAAATCCACAGCATCTAAATCCTTTGTCTTTACTCTTTACATTGCATGGGAAGCCTTTTTTATAATGTTAGGCTTGGGCCTCGACAAAGTGCATTTTAGATTTAACTCGTTTGATTTTTTAGTTCTAAACGGGCCTAATTCAGATATAGCCAGCCCAACATACATTCTGGCCCAAGACAGAGTTCGATAACATATTGGCCCATTTGAATTGAAATAAATACTTTATTAGTTAAAATTTTGAATTTTATACATACATACATACATACATACATACATACATACACACACGTATAGAAGGTTAATATTTTATAATCAACTAAGGGATTGTTTACCAAAACACTTACTCGCATTTATTTATTGGGTAAAACTTTAGCTCACCCAACGGCATCCTATGTAATAATTTACCCAGTAAATGCTTACATAGTAAGAGTCGTTGCCCTCATTTACCGGACATGACTCATGATCCTTGTTTCGCTCTTACCGAGTAAGATTATTGGTCCGTACCATATTCATCAATTAAGGTAATGTGACTTGGTAAATGCTTATATGGGTAAATGTTTGGTAAACGGTCCCTAAGTTGTAAGAACTATGTGAATTAATGCATTATATGCTATTTTCATATGCTTTTTTTCTTTCATGTAAAATTATGATTTAAGATATTGATTAACATATATTTGTTTCTTAATATGAAACTTTTTTAAATGTTTTCAAATAAAAAAAACACGTAAAAGAATTTCACATTATAAGTTAAATATATACAAAACAAACATATCGTGAAACAAATATATGTTAACTTTAGATGGAAAAAAAAACATGTAAAACAAATAACTTAAGGTAAAAATTCTCATGGTTATCACAATATGTGAGGTTCTCATTTCACAGCATAATCTATACACATTTATCATGTTCTAATACATACATAATTACATAATTCCATGTATAAAACATCAATATAGTAAATATGCATTACACATTAATTATATATTATGTTCATTATAATTATAACTATATATGTATGCATAGGACCATCATTTAACATGTTGAATGTGTAATTTTGAAGAGGGTCTTAAAAAATTTGGGACCCGAATTTATATTGTTTAAGACTTTTATCAATGAATATAAACTATAACTCAGTTCGGTGCCTCTCTAATTTATCTCAGAAGAAAAAAAGTAAATGATTCATCACTGTTTTTCTAATTTGTATTTATTTATCTTCGTTATGTCATTTTGCAGTATAACAAAATCACTAGAAAGATTGAAATGTTCATGCAATGAAGTTTTTGCGAATGAAGAAATGGGTCATAAACGAGTTTCCGGTTTATTGAGGGCAAATTGCTATCAACGATAAGTAATAGCGTTAAAACCGTAAACCTCATTAAACTAAGGGACTGAAAATGTAATTAATCTATAGTTTAAGAGACTGAAAATGTAATTAATCTACAGTTTAAGGGACTAAAAATGTAATTAAAATATAGTTTAAGGGACTAAAAATGTAATTAATCTATAGTTTAAGGGACTAAAATTGTAATTAATCTATAGTTTAAGGGACTAAAATTGTAATTAATCTATAGTTTAAGGGACAAGTCACCGCCTTTATTGCACGTGATCTACATCACATGGCGTATCTCTAGACCAGAAACGCGTTTTCCACCGTCGATTTGGAAGACGGCGTTAATCAACGACCGTGATTTATTGGGGGTCGGTGAGACGAGGCTCCCACTCGCAAACACGAAAAAAGAGAAAAAGAGGCGTCACTCTCTTCATTCCCCCTAAAAAAGCTTACATTTCTGCCGTACGATCACAAACACATCTCGTTTCAGAGCCATCGGGAAGCTTCTGCGCCTCCGTCGTTCTTCATTTCTAGGGTTTCGAGCACCGCATTATTTCAGCTTCATCAGCTTCAATTTCAGTAGAGATCTTTGGTTTTTTAGGGTTATCTTCGTTTTCGGTGAGTTATTGTTGGTGCTGTATTATGAGTTTGAATTGCGCTGAATTAAGCTTGTACGCGAATTGAAGTTTGTTTCGGCCGGGGGAAATTGGCTTTTTTTTTCAACCTAAGGAGGATCTTTGCGGTAAGATTAAGGTTTATTCTTCGGACTATGCTTTTTTCTCTCTTGTTTTTTCAAAACATTTCGTTCTAAATTAAGCTTAGGTTGGAGAAGTTGGTAAAGATAATTTTCGATTTGAAAAATTTGTAATTCATCGAGTAGATTAATCGATTACAAAATATCTAATTTGTACACGAATTGTATCTATAAGGATCGAAATTTAAACACGAAACCCTAATTTGAGAGAGAGAGAGAGAGAGTAAATATTTAAGTATACACCCTGGTTAGAGTATGCGATCTTTTCATTGTTAAGAGGAAAACGGGAGAGCATCGAGGGATTTGATATCGGATCTGTGTGCGAGTTAAATTGGTTTGTCATGAACATCCAGGGATTTGCGGGAAATATTTGGTCTAGGATTGGATATACAGCATTTTGATTGGGTCTAAAAGTGTTGGTAGCGACATGGCAAAGAAGGATATGTTCCCTGATGCTTATTCTGGTGGGTTTCCTCCCAACGATGATTCTGAAGGATCTGGCTGTTCTGGACGTGATGATATGGATATATCTGGTTATGAGGACTCAAGTGGACATAGGAAAAAATGGATCAAATTAAGCTCTGCATTGCATGATGGTTTTGGTGTACCTGTACATGTTGTTCCTTTGTCAAAGCTGTCATCCACAGAGAAAAAGAGGTGGTTAGTTCGATTGAGAACAGAACTTGATCAGCTCAGGACATTTCAGAAGAAAATGGATGTGGACAAGGCTCTTATTGTCACAATGTCATCTTCCAATGATATACTTAGCTCTAGCAATATCCAAGCAGCACGCCAAGCAAACATGAAGAGATCGTCTGGCCCTGGGAAAAGAATTGACCAGCAAAGTCAGAAGGCACGGGGTTTTAATCGTGGTCTTATGGGTAGATTTCAATCTGTCAACGAGTCTACTGAAGCAGGGACTTTCAGCCCACTATTGAAGAAACAGTGTGAGAACTTGTTAAAGAAATTGATGTCTCATCAGCATGGCTGGGTGTTCAATAAACCTGTTGATGTAGTTGCATTGAAAATACCAGACTACTTCAATGTTATTAAGAATCCCATGGATTTAGGAACGATAAAAGAAAAACTTGGTTCAGGGAAATATTCAAGTCCACTTGAATTTCTTGCTGACGTCAGACTTACCTTCTCCAACGCCATGACATACAATCCTCCAGGAAATCATGTTCATCTCATGGCGGATGTTCTTAGTAAATTTTTTGAGCTAAGATGGAAGCCTATTGAAAAGAAACTCCCTGTGAATGGCTCTAAACAACATTCATTTCATGAGGAGATTGATTTGGTTAAGCCAATTCCTCCTTCAAAGAAGAGGAAAATTGCCTCAATACAACAAGAACTGTTGCCAGAGCCAGTTAAGTTGGTGATGACCAATGAAGAAAAGCATAATTTAAGTAGGGAGTTGGAAGCTCATCTGGGTGATTTGCCAGATAATATCATTGACTTTTTGAGGGAACACAGCTCAAATGGGAATGAAGCTGGAGAGGATGAAATAGAAATTGATATTGATGATCTCAACGATGATACCTTGTTCAAATTACGCAAGATGTTGGATGACCACATGCGAGAACAACGGAATCATGCAAAAGCTGAACCTTGTGTTATTGAGGTAATTTATGTTTCACCTCTTAATTTGTGACGAGATAATTACTCATATAAAATATGCTGAAATCTAACAATCTTTCTGTTTCTATTACAGCTGCTACATGAATCAGGGCTTAGCAACTCAACTATGCAACTATATAGAGGTTAATAATCATTTTCTCACATTTATGGGTATTTGGTAACTGTTAATCAACATTTCATCATAGATCTCCATGACTTAGCCGCTATTGGTACTTGTTTTCACATATTACAGGGAATGATCCTGTGGACGAGGATATAGATATTGGTGGGAATGAGCCCCCTGTTTCAAGCCATACTCCAGTTGGAAAAGAAAGAGAAACAACCAAGAACAATGACATAGGGACGACATCAAGAACTTCAAGTGGTATTGGGTTACTCATTTATACTAATTAGAAGCAAAATGTCAACTTAGCTATATTTTGTAGTCAGGGTTTTGAGTTGCATGTAAACTCTATATATGCTTACCAATTTTAAGATGAAATTGTTTTATTATAACCTAGATGCTCGAGAACCATCAAGACCACTAACATGAAGCCAAAAACATATCATTTTGGGGACGGGTCACGATGTTTTATTGTGAAGGAACTGCTGCATTATAGTTACACTCACCCCTCTATTTAGGGGATATATGGCTATTGAATTACTATAACATTATACTTGTGGAGTGGACTCCTCTAGTCTATTTCTTGTTCTCGCATTAGAAATATAGTTCTCTTTTCCATCACAAGAATTGTCTTCTCAAAGGTTGTGTTATTGAATGATACTCTACATAATGTGTGAAATATACTGGTCCCCTATATTCAGTTAATATTGCAGCTTCTAGCTAAGATGTCCTTGTTTCATGTTAGGGTGGACGGCCTAGAGACTTTTATGATTTCTTGRTCTGAAGCTATAGAAACGCTAGTTCCTTTTTGTTCTTTTTTCAATCATTCCTTTACAAAAGTGGTCCYTACAGGCTGCAACACTTAGTTTAAAAGTTATAATAAGTTCACTRTTCACATGGAGATTTTCTTGTTTGAGTTTGTTGGAAGAGTAAAATGCCTCGGGCGAAATTTATAAATCTTGAGTTCAGATCTTCCTAACTCCATGAAAGTGGACAGATGCAGGTGTTCCTTAATTTGGTTCCTTCCGTGACAATKAACGTGGCAGTTTGAGGCATGCACGTTCTGGATATTGTAGAGTTAACCTCAGTAGGAGGTAGAATGTAAAAAGCATAAAATAGACTAGGATGGTTTGGGAATGGTTGACGTATAAGTAGGCCAAGTAGCAAGTACGGTAGTGTTAATTCGATACAAGGGAATGAAGACCTGGAAGGATTTCAAAGATCTTATTAGAGCACTTGACWGCTTTATGTTGATTTTTATTGTACTTAAACATAAATTAACACTTCCACAATAACRTCTATTTTCTTTTTGGAATTTCGGTGAACATAATCTAGTAAGCGCAACTCTGCAATAGCAGCCTAAAACAGTGGGTTTTAAAGAAGGAAGCAAAGATTTTGCCAGAAGCGATGGAGAAATGGAAGAGATCGACAAGGTCGAGAATGAASTAAATAGAGAGTGTCTAACGAATTTTTAATTAAGGTTTCATCTCACTAATGTACGTGTTYAAATCAAACCTTATTWGATGTTCACTTGCCTTAGAGTTGAAGTTTCTCAACATAGAGGATTATAACTCCATTTGTCAGTCTAGAGCAGGAAACCATCCAATTGTTGAGGAAATTTGACAAGTTCTAGTGAACTTGGATAAATGAGATTAATGCAAAAGTTGTCAAAACACCACCATTCTGCAACAGTTTTGATGGCATATATCAGAATGTTGTTGATCTTTATTTTTTATTCCAATTAAAGGCTATTTCAATTACTCAACCTATTCAGTGGGATATATTTTTCATTATAGTAGCTTATAAAGGCAAATCTTTGATCAACCCATATACTTCTTTATTTCAGTTTGACTTTCCATGAACTTTAGGAATAAGTCACTAGTGTTGATGCACCTGGGGTTGGTTGACAGTATTTAGATGTTCTACCTGTTTACACTCGTCTATTCAGGATCTGGGAGGTCCTAATTCCCCCTCCTCAAGACTAGTCTCAAAGTTCCCCTGAATGGCTCATGTGGTACATTCTTGTATGTATGCGTCGTCCAGGTTTGATTTCTAAAAGCTGCATCACAATTTTGGTGGCCAAAACACGAGTAAAATAAAATTACAGACACAAGAATATTTGCTGAAGAAATTATGTGTACAGAGCATATCAATGTAAATAGGGAAAAAGTAAAAGAAAAACAAGAGACAGGTTTTCTTTTGCCCCATAATTGACTCCACCAAAATAATTATTAGTTTGTCTCCTTGTTCTATGTAGTTTTTCTTCTTTAGAATCTAGTCACTTGTCTTTTCACCTTATAAAGAGAAAAGATTGATGGTCAGCTGGGTAGTATTCAAATCAATTTTTTGTGCCCTCTCTCAGTGATGAAGGGATCTTTTTCCATCAAATTTTGATTGAGATTCTTCCCACAACTTGTAAATCCAGAAGTAATTTTGTCACTTAAAGTTGCCTATCCAACCCCAGATGCTCTTGATCGCCTGTCTTAACATCGCTAAATAGTTATAGGTTACTAGAAGCTGGTTGAGCACTTGAACTTCCATGTCTTTAAAGAGAGATCTCGTATTGAGAGGTCTCTCTTTTTTAGTTGCCTAGATGCAAGCATGTTGCTGCTGTATGTGTTTTCAGGTGCACTCCAGGTTTTGTCTGTATGGCTGGGGTTAGGATAGAACAAGCTACACTACAACAATTGCATATATGGTTGAGGACAGTAATAACGTGTGTTATTTATTTATTTATTTTTGTGATTGCGTGGAGGGTGCTGTGATGAGAAAATCCTTACCTTCAACATAAAATTATGACATATGGTTATAAATTTAACTCAAAAACAATTTGTGCATAATGATCAAGGCCACTTTAATCTACCTTAGTATGGCCTAATGGAAAATTAGAGGTGGGGATGAACCTAATGGCTTATTTTCAGATGCCTTTCCGTACTGAAATAGTTGAACCGCCTTCAATCTTTCTTTGTTATTCATGTTGGTTATTCATTCATATTGATGGTTTTGTTTTCTCTTGGAGCGCTGCTCTTTGCATGATTAACTAGAAGTTCATTATTTTGCACCACTTAAGCTAATCTATTTTTGGCCCTTTCAGTTTCATTGCATGAAAAATACATCTCATTGTTGGTCGTGTAACTTAAATGGAAGATTTTTCGCATTTGCTTGTGTTTTTTGCAACTTAATTGGTAACCGTACAATATAATTCTCCAACTAGTCCTGTGCTTCCATCTCTGATGAGCTCTGAACACATGCATTTTTTTTGGTTATGCTCTTATGTAAGATGGTTGGTCTTTTTATGGTTTCTGCAGATACTAATTCTAGAAATGCTTCTGAAAATGGACAAAACGATGCTAAAGCTTCTAGTCCATTAAAGGCATCTCAGGTACAAATGTTATTTCTATTTCGTTTTTTGTATATATATTTGTTGGGGATGGTCGACACATTCTTTTGCGACTTGTGGAACTGTTTCTTATATGTGTAGTATTAATTTCTTATGTTCAACATACAGAACAATATTACTGGAGCAGATTTGGAGGAGAAGGCAGGTACAAGCGATCTAATTGATAATCGTGAGTTTTTCTTTATCTCGAGTTTCAATCTTGCATTTAAGAGTTTATTAGTTTTCTTTCCTTCATTTCAATTTCATTACATTGATGGTCCAAATTGTCTGCAAATACTCCCTCAATCCCAAAATAAATGTTCATAATGAAAAAGGCCAATGGTTTTAGAAATATGTAATCATTACACTTTTAATCAACCAAATTACAATAATACCCTCAATAATCGAGGGAGTAATGAATTTTTCCATCTCATAATCAAGGGTAGAATTGGGAAGTAGGCACTTACTTTTGGAAGTGGACACTTGGGGGCTGTTTGGTTGGTTTTTTATTAAGTCCTGTATGGATAAAGCTGACTGTGTGGATAATCTGTTTGTACGGTATTTGTTTGGGAGGGTTTTTTCATAGATGTAAGGAGTGTGGTTTTTAATTGCGAGGGGCAAGTTCGCAAAAAAAACATGTGTTTGTGCATAAAGCTCTCCCTAGAAGCTTTACTGAAAAAGCCACTTTTTATATCATTAAGCCACTATCAATTACCAAACAGTCATGTACAGCTGACCGAATAAGCTGTGAGTCACATGAAGCTCATTAAGCTGCTAAGAAACATGTTGGGACAAATTAAAATAGAAACTTGGACACTTATTTTGAGACGGAGGGAGGATATAGACTATTGAATATAGGTTAATGGAGTTCTTCTCACGTAAGCAAAATATCTCACAGCTGGCCGTGTTGGTTATGGTTGTTTGTTATGCGTGATTTTCAGAGTCGGTCAGTGAGTTGGATCAAGTGGAACACATGTCCCAGCAGAAGCCGAACTCGGTTGAGTCAGATAGCCAGAAGGATGATGGTGAGCATCGTAGGTGAAAAAGTAGTTGTAGTTTATATGGAGCTCTCTAATCATCACCCATTTGCATAATTTAGGGGATAGTGCTCCAAATTCAATGCTGGTTTCACCTGGGAAGTTGTATCGGGCTGCTCTTTTGAAAAACCGATTTGCCGATACGATTTTTAAGGCTCGAGAGAAGACACTCAACCAGGTTGGTTACGAAACCAATTGATTTGCTTTCTAGAGTGTTGGAGAATTGTCTATTTTTATGTGATCAGATAAATTTAATCAATCAGGTTGAAAAGGGGGACCCTGAGAAGCTGCGCCGTGAGAAGGAGGAACTAGAAAATCAGAAGAGGAAAGGTTAGACATCAATGTGTTGAAGTTCCAAAGATTTCATATTTAAAGTAACAAAGTCTCAAAATTTCTAACTTTTTATCCATTTTGACCGATAACCTGCTGATTTTGTAACATCTGATGACGTGGATATGAAGTTTTTATCACCCACTTAGTCATAACCCTTTTGTTAACATTTAGTAAATGGGTATCCATATTATAAAATGTTACAAGATCAGCAAGTTGCCGGTCAAAATGAGTACAAAATGGGAAATTCTCGAACTTCGTTAATACATCGAGAAAAAAACATTATTCGTTCACTAAATAAGAACGAACCAAACTTTGTTGCAGTTTGATGCATTTTGCTCGACCTTGTAATATAAACTCACCTTTTGTTGTGGTCATCAACGTGTCAATTGAATTTCGAGTTGTTTTATGTGCAACCAGAAAAAGCTCGATTGCAAGCAGCAGCAGAGGCGGCAGAAAATGCTCGAAGGCAAGCTGAAGCAGAAGCTGCATTGGAAACAAAGAGGAAGAGAGACCTCGAGAGGGAAGCCGCTCGGCAGGCATTATTGAAGGTATTCAAAACCTTTTCCATCTTTATCAATATCAAAACAAATAGTTGGATTAACGTAGTTTTTCATATATTCTATGCCAACTACACGAGTCCATGAATTCGGGCAACTCATTTGTATATCATCCACTTTCTGCCTGTTAATTGTGGAAGGTTTTAGGGTTTTAATTTGACATGGGTAGTTTAGTAATTTGCCATGCTCGTCCCATCTTCTCGACAGGAGAGAGGCATTTTTATCCCACTCAGTCTGGTCTAGTCTCAGGGGCTGTTTGGTTAGTTTTCCATTTTTGTGGATCAATCTGTCTTTATAGATTGGGAAGATGTTTGTTTGGGAGGGTTTTTCATAGATGAAGGAGCCTGTTTTTTAATTGGGAGGAGCAGGTTTGGAAGACACTTGCCTTTCTACATAAAGCTCCTCCTAGAAGCTTACTGAATAAGTCATTTCTTTATAATAGAGCCACTACCAAACAGTCATGGATAGCTGACCGAATAAGCTGCAAGTCCCGTTAAGCTCATTAAGTTGCTATCAAACCTGCTCTCAGTCTAATTGTCGCACCAAATGTGTGCTAACAAGTTTTTGTTTAGTTCTGTCTTGTATTATCCTGCCTACCAATCACACCCATACAAACTTACATATAAATAAAACCCAGAAGCAGACTTGTATTTTGTTAAAGACACCAAGTCTTTTTTGTGTAACCGTAGATGGAAAAGACGGTTGAAATCGACGAGACTTCGCGGTTCATTGAGGACTTGGAAATGCTGAGGACCGTGAATCCCGAGCAGTTGCCGATGTCAGTAGACGAGACGAGCCCCGATCACGAGTCACTGGAAGCGTTGGGCAGTTTCAAGTTCGGGGCCAGCAATCCATTGGAACAACTCGGGTTATACATCAAACGGGATGAACACGAAGAGGACGACGGTGAGCTCGAGCCGTCTAGCGTCGTGCCGAGTGGGATAAATATTGATGTGGAAGAAGGAGAAATCGATTAATCGATGGTTGAAGTGGATGATAATATTTCTAATATGAACTATTTAGTTATATGGTGTTAGAATGTTAGCATACGATCCTTTATGTATAGAATGGTTTCTGGCTAGTTAGCCTTCTTTGGAAATTGGAAGTGGGAAAAAACCAAAAAAAGTGAAGAGAAAATTAAATGGTAAAAAAATTTATGAAAAAAAAAGAGAGAAGGAATTTATAGAATTATTTCAGGTGTGGAAGGCTTTGATTTCAGCAATACTTTTGTACCATGTGAATGTTTTATTATACATTTTGCAAAATGGGTGATTTCAGTTCAGACTGTCCGGACTTGTCTTATGGCAACTTACAGCTGTAAGCTTCGTCTTAAGGCATATCTTACTTTGGGCATAAACGCATATGTAGATGGCAGTATTCGAATCCGGGTTAATGCATCATCCCTTTGTTCTTGTGTTTGATTGTTAAAATCCTACGTTAAGCGCAAAGGGACCTACCTAGCTAGCTAACTGGGTCCGTGCTTGTTTCTCTGTTTGTTTGAGTTCGTATACATCTTATCTTTTAGACCGCAGATAACAAAGCCCAAGTTACTTTTGGTTTCCATGCAAGTCTGTTCTTTTGGAAGGGGGTCCTAGGTTATGTCTAGACCAACCCTAGCGAATTATGACTGCAAAAAATCAGTCCTGATGACTTAGTGGCCACAATTGATGTGTACGCTTGAGATCAAACCCTGGACATATGAATATTACACCACATCTCTAGGACCTTTATGGCTACAAACCTGTTTTTGGTAATCTAAGAAAACAAACCAGGTTTCTTTGCTGTGCGTGGAATGTGAAAATAGTCTTGATCAGCTTTTTTGGGCTTTTGAAAGATGAAATCATCTTATCAAGATTTTAGACCTTGTATAGACTTTAGACTTGCTATGTCAAACCGAATAGATAAAGATACCGCAAGTTGAATAAGCTATGATGACAATCTATATGGTGGTTTGATTTGGTTTTAACATTTGTAATGTTCATTTATTACAGATAAAATTGCGTTTTCATTTGTATTCGATCGAGTTTTATAAATTCCAACTCCATAGTCATAACTTCACGGTTTCATTTTATTTTTGATAAGAATGTTCAATTGATTTAGCCTTTTTCACTTCTACCAAGAGCAAAGTCTGCAAGTTAATTTTTCAAAAAATTCATTAATTTTAGAGACAAATGCATGGTTTTTTTAAAGAAATCTTTTGAATCAATTTTAATATAAATATATTGTTTTGAGTGGACGAAAGGATGCTTATTTTTAGGGCAATTTAAACGGTGACCAACATGATACCTAACCTTTTGTGTTTTCTTGTAGTTTTGCCATCATATTTTTCTAACCCAATTTGGACATTTAGTTACGAATAAAATATTTTGTAATTGTCAACACATAATTAAGACCATAAACAACTACAAAATGTTTTTTTTAGTTATTTTATAAATCGATTATTATATCTATTAAAGTTTAAACGATATTAAAGGTAAGCATTGACAACCACCACCTTAATTGTGTTATACCAATTAATGTTCAGGCTTAGAAAAATGTAGTAGAAAATCTTATCTTTAAAAAGAAAAGATATTTATAAATTTAAAATATTTCAAGTTGGTATGAATATTCATATCACTTTCCTTTTTTTTAGAAAATTCAATGAATATTATATTATACCTGAGATTGTATTTTTACAAAAGTAATGCAACCACAAAGACTCGTATTGTTGACTTATTTAAGGATTAAATTCTTTAAAAAAAAAATTCAATTATAAAAAACTAAGGCCGAAACATGTAATCTACTCTAATTTTAATAAACATAATAATTGAAAATCAGACATATAATAATGATTTTATATTAAATAAAAAATTTGAATTGTAGGTGGCAAATTGGCACGCCAAGGAATCAAAAACCTTATTTTTTTGTTTGTACAAGTTTATAAGTAATTTATAAATTAAATAAAACTTAATAACATAAAAAAATATCGCTCGAACCGTACATCTTGATGGATGATGACAACAGCTTTCAATTTTGACCTGAGGGTTTGGTGTGGCGGCGGTTGACTCATCAATGCCATCATCTCATCTATAAATTCAGTTTCATTCCATTCCACAATCTTCTTCACTGAAACCCCAATTTTTCATCTCCCAGTTCGTCAATTAGGTTTCAATTTGGCTCAGAACCACCATGGATTTCACAGGCTTAATTTCTTCCCTCCCAACTCTCCCTTTCTTCTTCACGATGTTTCTTGCAATATACTTGAGTGCCCACTTCGTAATCTTCCGTAATTGGAGCCCCAAGCTCCGACCCGAAGCCGCCAGCTGCTTAATCTCACTCGCCCATGGCACTCCAGCCGTATTTCTCGCCATTCAAGCCATCATCGCCGACACCACCCATGGATTCGCCTCAATCAACACCCGTTTTCAGAACTCTGTTCTCGAATACAGCATTGCATACTTCTTAATGGATCTATGTCACTATTTAACCTTTTACCCAACAGATATCCTCTTCATAGCTCATCATTTGGCCACCCTTTTCGTCATCCTCACTTGTCGATATCTAGTATTTCATGGGGCGTATGCGGTTTTGATTTTACTTGCACTAGCGGAGGTCACGAGCTTGTTCCAGAACGTGTGGACGCTATCAAGTGCTCGAAGGGCGGATTCCAAAATTGCAGCCCAGGTGTTTGCTTTTTTGTCTCCTCCATTTTATGCGTTATATTCTGTTGTTAGAGGTCTTGCTGGGCCTTTGTTTGTTTACAGAATGGTTATTTTCTATTCAAGTGGGGCTGCAGATAATGTTGTTCCTAGGTGGGTATGGGTTTCTTGGATATCTGTTGTCATTATGGCGATTTCGGTTAGTATTCTTTGGATTTCTAATCTGTGGATCGAGTTGTATAAAGAAAGAATTTTTAAGCTTGAGAAGGAGAAGAAAATTAGATAGAAAAAGGTATGAATCAAGAGTGACTTGTGATATTTCCTGTATGTTCAACAACTTCATATATATAAAAAAGAATCATTTATCATCTGATACCTTTTTCTGAAATGGAACAGTGATTGTTACTCGTGGTGCTTTGTATCTTTATCTTTTGAATTACTCCTCCGGGTTCTGGAAATGGGTGATCGTAGGCTTTGGTTGACTAATCCCATGGCAAGTCGTGACGGTAGACTTTGCTCATGGCCCTGAGGTAAATCTCCCTGTGGCCACAAGCGTATATGTAGTTGGCAGGATTCGAACACTGGGTTGATTTTATCATCCTCTTTGTCTTTATCCACCATGCTACCACACTTGTGGTTAAGAATTAGTTTCTTGAGCTAGTGAATGTAAAGGGTTGTTTGGTTGGTTTTCCATTAAGTTCTGTATTGATAACAAACTGTCTTTTCTGTACACTTTCCCCAATTCCGCTGCTACTGCGGGCTTTACGCGATCGATCGGATTATATTGATATCCCTTCAACACATAGGTCATTGAAAGGATCTCGGAAACCCACCAAAGCACGAAAGCCAGGATCTTTTAGAAAATGGATTCCTATTCAAAGAGGGAATAACCTCATGGATAAGGTCACACTAACCCGTCAATTTGGGATCCAATTCGAGATTTTCCTTGAGAGGTATCGGGAAGGAATTGGAATGGATCCAATTCGAGATTTACTTTCGCATCTTACGAGCTCATTTCTGTAGTTCTTATCCAATCGAAAATCTTAAAGCAATGGGTATGCTAGAAAAAGCCTAGATTCTCTCATCTCAAATTCTTATTTCGTCCTGCAAATGACCTTGAAATGCTAGTTGACTAGAAGCTACTGTCGTTCATCGTTCGAAAATGGAAATATTATTTGTCTTTTTTGTGTCTATGAATTAGAGAAGAATTCAAGAAATGCATATTGCTGACTGCACTTCGAGAGAATTACTGCTGATGAACAAAAATGTGCTTTTTCTATATAGACAACTTTATCTATACAGAGCTTAATGATAACCAACCAAACAGCCCCTAAATCCCATTCAGTGGAGTAATACGGGAACTAAAATTTAAGAACAAGAACAGATCCAAATACAACTAGAGATATCAGGTTTATATATATTTTTTCTGAGACTGCATTCTGCTATTGTACTCATAACAAACACAAGAACATATTGTAATTATAACATATTATGCAACTTAATCAGAAAAGAAAAATAAACAGAAAAAGAAACAAAAAAGGGAAATCAAACAGAGAAATAGGGTTCTAAAGATCTTCCCTTTGCAGCTTGTTAGTTGGCCGAAAGGGTCTTATACATGGAAATTATTTATTTTGCAAGCAGGAGTTCTCTATGCTATTATTTCTCTGTTCTGAAATGCTGCAGCAAGCCATTTTTACTTTGCCTGAAGATGATTAGTCTTTGTAGAACTTATATTCCTTGGCTTGCTTTATGATATTTTGCAGCCCTCCGATAGGAGATAGAATCATCAAACAGAGACCGAGAAAGATGCAAATCTGAAATTTAGAAATGTAAGTTTAGTTTACATTTTTCCCCATAAAACAGATAATACAGTAAAGGTGCGTTTGGTACACTGGACATAACAAAATGGAATCGTTGTTCCACGTTTGGCAGAACTTTTATGTAGAACAGACAGAGTCAGAGTGGAACAGACATGTTCCACCCTCACCCGCATAGGACAAAGTGGAACAAAATGGAACAAACCTATATTTTTACCTATATAACCTCATAATAAAACCTAATTCTCTTTTTAACATCAAATAGGACTCCCTCTTTACATTTTATTCATTTCTTAAATTTTATTTATTGTATTTTATGTTCTTTAAACTTTTCACTTTACCGTCCTAGAAACATTATTTTATACGGTTTCTATATTTTGGTTAATTTATATAATTTATTAAATATTATAATAAAAGTAATATAGAAAATGTATAAAATAAAAATTGGAAACTATATAGACTTTTTCTTTTGGTGTCATTTTAATCGTCTTGACAAAAACTTTCTAATGATATTTTTTTTTTATAAAAATGCATTTTTATTATAATTGAAATTACATAAATTAATCAAAATATATAAAAGATATAAGGTGTAAATTGGTCATTTTATCTGTTATGTCTTGTCCATTTCTGTCTTACCAAACGCTGGACAACTGTTCTGCCCTACGTGTCTGGATACCAAACGCATCATATATGGACATTATGGGATTGAAAACCTACCCAGTTAGTGCACCAAGACAAACTGAACTTCTTTGGCTTGCAGATGGCAAGCCACATTATGCATGGGAGCTAATGAAACAAAAAGTTGATATATCAAGAAATTAGTTAGGTTATAAGAAATTCAAAAAGCGCCCATGGGTAAAGTATATGATGTTAAAGACATTCTTACGAAATAAGTTGTTGGGGCAAACGCGAAACCTCCAAAGAATCCGAGGAGAGCTCCAAAGAAAGGGAACGTAATGCCAACAAACATTGTGAACGCTGAACCCAAGGAGAAGGTTGGTCAATGTCCTTTTAAAATAAATAAACCAAACCAAACCAAACTGACCCAGTAATTCCCACTTGAAAGTAGGGTCTAGGAGGGTGAGATGGACGCAGACTTGACCTCTACCCCAACAGGGTAAAACGGTTGTTTCCCCTGAAGACCCCCGACTTGTGCAAGAGCGTGAGCAAACAGGTGGAAGGAATAAAGATCGGTCAATGACCCTTTTTAACATAAATAAGTTCAAAAATGTTTTGCCTTAGAAATAGCCCAATACTTGATAGAGGGTTTCACTAACCTACATAGACGTTACGCGTTACAAAACGCAAGAGCCTGCTTGGTTTGAACTTCAATTTCTTCACCAACAAGGTCTCCAACATGTCGAAAACTGGCATTGCGTAAATCTGTAGGAAGTCAAAATTTGGTTAGGATAAGCTAGGAAAGCTTACAAATGGAGACACCACAACAGAAATGAGTTTATAGAACGCCGAAAGTTTATAAGCGTCCTAATATACTGCTTTACAAGACTTAATTTATAGGTGCCGTAAAAAGCGTCCGATCTAAAACACTTTTGGGAGTTGTAACAAGTTTTTAAGGACAATTTTATAAAAATACGTCGTATTAGCTAATTTATAGGACACTATTTGAAAAAGTATCTTACAAAATCGAGTGTCCTATAACAAGATGGGTTATAAGACGCTTTTGAGAAAGTGTCCTATAAAATAGCTAATACGACACTTTGTATTAAAAGTGTCCTAAAAAACTTGTTAAGACGCTCAAAAATGTCCTATGAACTTATGGCAACGCCTTTGGATACGACGTTTTCTTTTTTGGTCCTATAAAGTAAGTCTTATAAAACAGTCTATTAGGACGCTTAAAAATTAGTGGCATCCTATAAACCCAAATTTATTGTAGTGAGAACCTCGGCATCTAATGCTGCGCGATAAAATCTTACACAAGTAACTAATAAGTTTGAGAGAAATAAGTAACTGATAAACCAAACCAAACTAAACTGAGTAAATCCCGCTCGAAAGGAGGGTATATAGTGTGAGATGTATGCAGACCCTACTTTCTTACGGTAATATCGACTAGGGATTAGATTTCTAGATAACTTTTATTGGTTGATACCTGATAGCTGCCGATGACATGAATGACCACAAACATGTTAGCAGCGGCAATAAGCCATTTAGGCTTCTCAAGTGAGATCAAGACGTTATCAGCAACCTGATTTCCGAACATATAGTACCCGATTAAAGCAACTGGAAAATAGCACAAGGCGACAACAATATAAGCCACAACCACTCCTTTCCACATCGGTCCCTTGGAAGGCTTCTCGGGTGTCGAAGGGATTGTTGCCTGGATCTCGAGAACAACGTTGTGGCCTGCATATGCAAATGCAACATCACCCAAAGCTGTCAAAAAGTTGTAGGTTGTTTGTGCGGGTGTCTTCGCTTTGTATCCGTACTCTACGTTCTGTTGCATGCCCTTGTGGATAGAAGCTGTCCACGCAATTGTGGAGTAACTGTTTGACATAAGCACTTTCACCCGTCAGATAATGTAACTAAGGGCCTGTTTATTAGCAGCTTAACGAGCTTAATGAGGGTCACAACTTATTCAGTCAGCTATATATTATTGTTTGGTAGTAGCTTAATGATATAAAAAGTGGCTTATTTAATAAGCTTCTAAGGGGAGCTTTATGCAGAAAGCCAAGTTTTTTCTAAACCTGTCCCTCGTAATTAAAAAAACACGCTCCTTCCATCTAAGAAAAAGCACTCCCAATAAAAACCTTCACAATCTATACAAACAGATTAATTTACACAGATAGCTTTATCCATACAGGACCTAATGAAAACCGACCAAGCAGCCTCTAAATACTACTCCCTTCGTCCCAAAATAAATGTTCACAATGAAGAAAACATACAGTTTTAGGAATATATAATTATTACACTTTTTAATCTAGAAAAAGGACAACTATCACCCTTAATTATAGAGGGAGAGAATTTCTCTGTCTCATAAAGAAGGGTAGAATGAGGAAGTAGACATTTATTTTTGAAGTGGATACTTATTCTTAGACAAACTAAAATAGTAATATAGACATTTATTTTGGGACGGAGGGAGTAATTCTTTCTTTCCTTTTTGTGTTTCTTTACTTATCTTCCCCAATTGATAATAATCAATCGGACGTTGATTGTAATCAATCATAAGTACAGAGATGTAGGTCGTGTTTGGCAACCATAAGCTAGCTTATTTATTGAGCTTATTGAAAAAACCGAGTTTGGATAGCGATAAGCTGGCTTTTGAAAAGCTACTTCTAGTAGGTTTCAATAAGCTTCAAGGGCTTTTCCCCTCTCTCTTTCCCAATTAGTTTTTCAACATGTCGTCCTCTTAGGTAGTTTTACGTTGTCATCTAGCTTATCAGTTTGTTTTTACCAAACATGACTAGCTTATCTGTAACATCATGGGTCAACCGTATCAGACATTGTCCGCTTTGTCCACACATCTGGACTCAGTTTTAAAACGCATATGATATGAGATCTTATAGTCCGCCCCCCTTAGGAGCCCATTCAGGAGTGTCCTTACTGGCCCATCGGTCTAGCTCCCGGTTTTGGTACCATCAGTAACATCCCGGGTCATCCGTATCAAATATTGTCCGCTTTTCCCACACACCTAGACTCACGGTTTTAAAACGCGTTCGATAGAAAAAGTGTCCAGTTCCTTATAAGGCAACTTTGTTCCCCTTCCCAACTAACATGGAATTTTACATGGTATCGAAGCTGAGAGCTTGGAAAGCTTGGAACTGGACTGGTGTGCCAGCGAGGTAGCTAGGTTCCCACGGGGGGTGAACGGTAAGATCCCACATCAGTTAGGGAGGGAAACTAAGGTTCCTAATAAGGGACTAGATGCCTCCTCTACCATGCGCAGTATAGGTTTGTGGACAAAGTGGACAATATCTGGTACAGTTAGCCTAGGATGTTCCATTATCAGCCAACAACTAGCTTTTCAGCTTGTTTGCCTAACATAACCGTAGAAAGCTTACGTTAAAGACATCACAGCAGCAGCCAATGAGATCCCGGAAATGGAGTTAAAGTTCGGAAGGTGCGACAATATGAAATGAACAGAAGCGAAGATCATAATGAAGTATGTCGTTTTGATCTTCACACAGCCTTCACAAACGGTTTCGTGGAACTTCTTTAGAGAAGTCCCTCCTGTGACCATGTATACGACGTTCACACCCACTTCACAGATCAACTGTTGGGGCACCACGATGTATAACCCGAGCTTTTCGCCGAAAGCTTCTTGGCCTAATTCATGGTATCTATCAAACCGTTTTCCAGGTATCATTTCGTGCATTTCAACCATCTGCCATAGCGTGTATAACGTTATTACCCATGATAGAATAAGTATAGTCACACCGGGTCCCCTGTATTCAAGATCAATGAATCTTGTTAGTATTTGAATAACAACTTTTGAAACTATTACGGACTTTGTAAATGATGATGTCACATTTGCTTTTATGTTGATGTATGTTTCTAAAAGCCGCTCTATCGTTTGGGGCAGAGGACATGTTTGCGTACATCTCACCATCTTCAGTAGACTAGAGATGCACAAGGCCCATGCTTTTTTGGGCCTTCCAATCCTGTTTTCAATGAGCAAAAAGAAGCCTGGGATTTTTCAGGCAGGCTTTGGGGTTGAAAAAGGGCCTTGGTCGGGCTTTTTCAGGCCGGCTATCCGGGTTAACCAGGATTTTCGGGCTTTTCCAGGCCGGGCTTTAACCAGCCTTGGAAAAAAAGTTGGCTTGATCAAGCCTTAG